CGAATTTGCTCGAATATTTTCGTGCCCATCATTTTCTCGATATAGCTTTTGAAGTAAATTTGTTTTCTAATTTAATTTTTTTCACTTGTATGTTTCACCTTTTGAAATTCGAACGAGAAAAAGTAATTTAAAAATTTAAGTTGAATATACTTCTACGTGATTTTTCTTCAAATGCTTAGCTAATCTAACCTTAAACTTTCCGAGTTTTTAGTGGAATATAATTTTTGTGGTAATTGTTTCGATGATTCATTTCCTCCTCGAATACGTTTTAACTTTTTTTTTTTTAAAATTTAGTTAGCATGTGTGAAAGACATGTGTGTAACGATTATTTCGATAAATTGTGAATGTTTAACAATTCGCGATTGTTGACGGTTGCCTCCTGCACGGGACACAATCGACGTGCCGAAGCGCAGACATATTATTTACTCGGACCAGATTTCAGATTTATCAGCCGATAGACTGACAAAGGGTCGGCCGAAATCCTTTGAAGATATCGGTTATCGATCGATTCGTTGTTTGATTTGCGTCGAAACATGGACGAGCACTTCGTCCATCATTGATAACAGGAGCGTGATCGTCGATGGTTCCAACGATCATGAGACATGCCACTCATCCTGGCCGATCCTTATCAGGCACGACGTATTTGTACTTATGTCGCTTGAAGTATTGCCGAATTGGGATCGGCACATGGATGACGAAAAAGTATTTCCATTTCGATAATTTCGCTTAAAATAGCGCGAGACTAAAGCAAATTTGTGAAGCAAATAGAAACATATTCGATTCTTCCCCATTATTTAATAATATGACAGAATTATAATTATAAACAACAAAAAAAACATGTTTGATTCTTTCAATAATAATATTCAATGTAAATATGTAACATTGAATTTCAATTATTCATTAAATAAATAAATATGAAAGATAAATTTAATTGTTCAATGCGTTCTTTCGTTACGTTCAATTTCAAGAAATTGAATTGATAACAGAAAAATTTTTCCCATAAGAAAAGTGCAACTTAAAGAGAATTAATAAAGTAATTATTCATTTGCTCATTTGAAAAAAGTATTATCTTTATTAATAATATTTGTATACCATGGTTATGACTGACTAATAATCGGACATAACAACTGTTATCTCATTAATAACTTGGGAATTATCAAGTAACGTAGTATTCTGACGACAATAAGTAGCAATGACTCGCGATATCTTGCAGTTCACAAGATCGCGCAATCCGTTCGAAATACCTAGCAGAATTCACGCGATGGATTTCATGGTGAAGTGATCATGGACAATGAAGGCGTGGAAACACCATCGCAGATCACCTTGTGTCAACTACGCGCAACAACGGCGTGCTTATGTACGGTAGGCGATATTAATTATCCCCGAGCCTCCTTATAACGTAATTTATGGGAGCACAAGGGTACGACCGAAAGGGGAGCGTTATCAATCCGGTAAGATTAATCACGCAAGTTTATACCCGGGCTTCCTATCCACTTCACTCCATAAGTAGTACACTTCGCTTTGCTTCCAAGGCTTTTCGTGCCTTACCGCCTTTAGTCCTTAGCATCTTTGATTTATGAGCAACCGTGCGTAAGCTCTCGATACGTATATTTTGACGGAGCTTTTAGCGAGTTTTAGTCGAAAAAAGTAGTAGAAAAAAAGTACGAGGAAAACTTGAATATTGTTTCGAACGTGTATTATATTGTAAAAATTCATAATAAAATTTATAATTATATATAATCATGAATATGAGTCATTCTTTAAATATAAAATATCTTATACCTATTATCCGATTAACCTCAAAATCAATGATTAATTGCGATTTTATAAGAATCATGATTAAAATTTTCAAATCTTGTAAAACTTCTCTTCTAACAATAAAAATATGATTGTGAATATTACTTACTACGATTACTTCTTCGATTCAAGAATCTGTTTTAAAGACAAGACCACGTTACACCCATGCCAATATCCGTTCGAGAGAAAAATGTAATGTAAGATTCAATTCAAAAATGCAACGGGCGCGCACTCTATCGAGTGCAGGCTGAACCCGTCCATGATTCTTTCCTCGTTGCACCGCGGTTTAGCGTTAGAAACGTCTCACTCGTGGAACCTGTCGAAGTGCGGGTATTCAACACGGTGACAACCGTTGCTGCACACATTGTCGAAAGTATACACGTCACCCCTTCCGTCCCTTTCGGTGCGAGAGGGACGAGTAGTAAGAGGGGTGGTCGCGTGGAAAGTGGAAAGGGAAAGCCCCCACCTAATGGCCTCAAGCAAACCCCCACTTTTCCCACTGGCAATGATGCCAAGGTACCAACGAGGAGGGTCTATAACCGTCCTTTGTCGAGTCGTGCTGCCACCTGTGCAGCAGCTTTCGTCGACCTTGCCCGTGACTGGTCGCCAACCACTTCTTGACCGTCGATCTTGCGCAGGAAAAGTCTCTTTTTAACCGTCTTCCTTCGATTTTGTTCGAAGAAAACATCGCATTGGTTCGGTAGCAGCATCTTAGATTCACGATAAAACTCCCATGTGTTTCAATAACGGCATAATTTTAACTGGACAATATCGATAGTGACGATATATGGAATAAGATTCGTGTTTGCATCTAAATTTTAGCAGCTTTGGCGTTTAAAACAATACAAGTGCACGAGGATAGAAAGGCGTACAGTTTTATCGAAACAATCGGATGAAACGTGAGCAAATCGAATTACGTGTGGCACGCGCTTGTCGTTGAATCAGATAAGCTGTGGGGTTATTTAGGAAAATTGTAACCTTTGAATATATTAGATAAACATTTTAAACATGCTCGCAATATATATCGTGCAAATAATTATGGATTCAACCTATAGTTTAATCTATACGCGGATGGATTTACACTGGGTATTACGTATGCTTCTCGTATCGTGCATAATCTGCAATTATAGGCGGTAATTGTATGATAGCTCGTACGCATTTTCAAAGTAATGGATAAAGAAAAAAAATACTCTTGCATACAGTAGTCATTGTATACCTGAACGGGCTTCACATGAGAAATTTTATTGCAGTGTATAATAATACTTACTATATATATGTAATCTTAACTTATCCATGTTCAGGCATTCTAGGGAAATCCGGTGATAAAGAGCACGATAATCGTGTTCAAATATATTACAAAGGGAAAGTATAACGTATAACGTGTTTTTACAATCTGATTAGCATTTCGTTCTATTTTTAGTTCAACTATTTAATAACATGTTGCAAGAATTTAATTGCGAATCACATTATGAAAACGTTCATTACATTTAATAAATATGAATGACTTCTATATAAATATTATATTAACAAGCGTCCCATCGAAGAGAAAGATTTTTAATTATTGCATTATTTTAATTATTTTTTTTTCAAAATTAATATCAAACATGTATTTATCGATTTAAAAATTCAAGCCGATAACATATTATGCATAACAGTGGCATTAAACCGTATCATCTTTCCTTTCATTTACATTCAAATTCGCGGCAGAATGCGAATCATTAGTTGAAGCGTAACAATGCGTAGAGCCGATGCATTTAACATGAATTGCATGTACGTACTGTGCTAGACTATAGCCTATAGAGTAGGACGCATTAACATGTTAATGCCTTGTCTCGCGCTACAGTTAACTGTCTCGTCTCACTACAGTTAAACGTGTTGGTTGATCCATGGCATTAGTAATTCAAAGCGTGGAGACACCTATATAGCGGGCACAGTCATAATAAAACACCCCCAATGGTATACCACCGTTTGTAGATCGACTCGCTACAAATTGCTCCATTACGATTAATTCCGTTTTGCAAATCGATATTTTGGTTACGAATTAAACACACGCGAAAAAGAGGAGGAAAAATGTCGATGAAAAAGATATAATTTTCAATAAGGAACAATGGTCACTTGATGAATAATTCAACGTTTTATTAGATAAACGTAACGCAGCTATTTTAAAAATCTTTTACCGAGAATTCCATGACATTAAACGTCGGTAATATAATAGTATAAAGGAGCCACGATACAAAGCCACTATTACTCTCTGTTGGCTCCTTAATTCCCGATTCCGAAGACGCGCGGTTGATCCTCGTAACACACGCACAGAGACAGAAATCCAAAATCGATGTGCGATGACATCGGTCAGCGGCTTAGTTTGGGCGTAGTCGTAGCGGACGTCCACGTTCTGTACCGTTGACAAATTCGGTATCGCATTCTCGGAAAGTCACCGGTATAAGGATAGAAACTGATCGGAGGAAGGGAGTTTTAAGGTGGAGTCAAAGAGCGGAAGAGAGAAAAAGAGAGAGAATGAATAAAACAAAGAGAGAGAATCCCTTCGAGCAAGAGCACACACTGCAATGACACTCGCGTATATTGACTCATACACTTGCACGTGGGCTTACAAAGCGTATACGCATAGTAGCGGCCTCTTGAAGTCACCGGTGGTAGAAGGGTACGGAGGAGAGGAGTGAGAGTTGCGCGCGGCTATGTGTAGACCGCGGTGTTAACAAACGGTACACTAATGTTTCACGTCTCGGTGTGCCTCCACCGTATGTTTCCATCTCGCTCCAGTTTCTGGACTCTCTTTGTCCTGCAATGTGTTCCTCCGTCGACGTCGCCGTGGCGAGCAAGAGCGCGAAGTAGTAGCTCAACGTGCTGCGCACACTGAGGGGTGACGAGAAAGGCAGTGGCACACGATTTGGTGGTAGTACGAGTAGCTTCGAGTATACAGGAGGGGATAGGGAAAGGTGGTAGGGGGCGGAGCAAGGCTAGTCCGCGCCCACGGAGGGGAAAAAAGCCGAGCTCCGCACCCACCGCGGCATATTAGAGGGGGGCGAAAGAAGTGTGGAAGGGGACGATTTATCCAGTTTGTTCTCTCTCCCTTCCTCCTATGCACCGGTATGCACCACTACAAAGATCTGTTTAAGCGAGGGGGGTAAACGCGAGAGCGTGTGAGTTTCACCACGAAACGCAAAAATATCTTCGCTGGCAGGTACTTCTCGTAGGTAGGTGTGTATATCGGCAATCTGCCGGCCGGCGAAAAATGTCAGTGCACCTTTTTATTCACCCCGCGAACCACATCGTCCCCTTCGGTTGTCCCCACCGCCGTTCCACCGAATGTCCTCCCCCGCAACCTCTATGCTCGCGATCCACCACCTACAGCCGCCCCTACCCGCCCCTTTGATCGGCGGTCGCGCCAGGAGAGCGACAAGTAAGCGCGAGGAGGCGAGTTCCCTTGAAAGAACTGCGCAAAACACACTTTCGCGATGCCACGGCCGAAGTCGTCGTTGTCGTCATCGTATCCGTCGCTCGCCGGATTGTCAACTTGTATATTGTTAGTGATCGTCGGCACGTTGCCGCACTCGCGTACAACGGTAGACCAACAACAATCATTTGACTTGGTTAGTCTATACGATCGAACTTGTCGTTCGACGTGGATCACGTTTTTTTAAATTCGACCGTAGCTACGTGAACAAAATTTAAAAAGTCAACGATCAATAGCGTCGTTTGTTATCGCGACTTTCTAAAAGCCGATGACAATTGGTGGTGAAACGCGATGGGACATACACGCATCATCAGCGCATTAAACTGCTGGTACGCGTTTATGTCGCGTAAATGTGCCCGTGTAATACGTTCGTCAGCTGGTGATGTTCGTGCGTTTCACTGTGTAAGTGTCGAGCGAGAGAGACATCGCGGTGGTATATTGAAGTGAAAAGCAAACGTGGAGTCAAAGTTGGAGGGAAAGAGAGAAAAGTTGTGTAGTCAAGTGTCGCGTTGTGTGTGGAGTAAGGAGGAGGATCTGAGGAGGTGGGGGCCAGAGGTATAGTGAGGGGGCACGAAGTAGTTGACGATCGCCACGGTGAAGGAGAAGAGAGAGAAAGAGAAAGAAAGAGAGTGGGAACACCGCGGTGGTGGGGAACCGTCAGAGTGTGCGGTCGTGTCCAAGAAAGAGGTGGAGAAGCGAACAGCAACGGCAGGGAGGGGACAACGGGGGAGAGCGAACAAACTACCGGGAAGAAGTCAGCGGCAAGTAAAGCAGCGCCGCCGAGGCTAAACTTCAGGATCTATCGAACTAAAATTGTCGTGTAGTTTCTGCCTCCTCTTCTCGCCCCTCCTAACGCAACCTACCTCTCCCTTGACCCCACCAGAGCCGAACACGGTGGCAACGGCAGCATCTCGGCCGGTTGCGCCC